GAGAGAGAGAGAGGAGAGAGAGAGAGAGAGAGAGAGAGAGAGAGAGAGAGAGAGAGAGATGGGTGCAGATCCTACCTTTCGGTTGTAGGAGCCCAAATCATGTTGTAAGCGAAAGGTTCAGTTTGCTGCCACCTTGGAGAGTCAATGAACGAGAGGCAGAGTAACAGAGAAAGACGATTATTGGCAGCAGGTGGGCATTGTTGGCAGGTGGTTGACTCATGCCTTCAGTGACCACGGCACCCTTAACCCTAGGCATGAATATTTTGTATGATTTTTCAAAGGCAGGGACGTGGATACCAGCAGGAAGGTGCCTTAGCTCCAGAGTTTTGGAGAGGAGCCTCTTCTGGAGTGTGGGATGTGCACATCTTATCTCCTTGACGCGGCTCAGTGAGAGCCGCAGTGTGGTGGATCCAAACAAGACGCCGGTGATCAACGCTTCTGTGTTTGTTTAGCAATCCGTGTTGATTTTTATTGTGGTATTTCTGGCAAGAACCCTTCCAGGTGTGATCCTGTAACTTGGGACTAGGGAGTTCTGGAAGGAAGGGTTTGTGCATTCCTAGCTGGCTTTAGTGTGCAGTTATGCTGTAAAAGAGTAGGCAGAAATGAAGAGAAACTTCTGATAAGTGGGTCTAGATGATGACAGGTGGGGTCAGGRGGTGTGCTTTTAATTTGTGGCCAAATTGTGAAACTACACAGACACAGATGCAGAAAAGTCCACATATCAGGAGATTCTTGCTTGATGTTATTGTGCAAAGTGAACCACTCATACAGTTGCCAACCAGATCAAAACCAGAGCATTACAGGAGCTCGGAACCCCTCATCTTCCTGTTGCAGGCATCCTCTTGATCCCCTCGTCTCACCTGACTAACTGCTAAAACTTTTCGATTGAACTTTTTCCCCCTCAGTACTGGGGATTGAACCCTGGRGTGCCCTACCAATGAATTACATCCCCAGTGCCCCCCCCCCTTATTTTTGGATACCGGGGATTGAACTCAAGGGCACTCAACCACTGAGCCACACTCCAGCCCTATTTTGTATTTTATTTAGAGACAGGATCTCACTGAGTTGCTTAGTGCCTCACTGTTGCTGAGGCTGGCTTTGAATTTTCGATTCTCCTGTCTCAACCTCCCAAGGTGCTGGGATTACAGGTGTGTGCCATTGCCCTGGCCCCAGCCCTTTTTATTTTATATTTTGAGACAGGGTCTTGCCAAGTTGCTGAGGATATTGCTACAYTGCTGAAGCTGGTCTTGAACTTGCCATCCCCCTCTTCAACCTCTCAACTTGCTGGGGTTATAGGCATGCACCAATGCACCTGGCAAAATTAAATTTAAAAGGCTTCGGATGTAGCTCAGTGGTAGATTGCTTGCCTAGGATGCATGAAGCCCTGGATTCAATTCCAGCATTACAAAAAAAGGGGGTGGCTGAGAGAGTGAACTAGAGAGATCCTTAAGAAGTGGTCCACAGCTGGGTATGGTGGTACATGCCTGTATTCCCAGCAACTCAGAAGACTGAGGCAGGAGGATGCCAGCCTCAGCAACTTTGCAAGACCCTATCTCAAAATAGAACATAAAAAAGGGTTCAGTGGGGGCTGGGGTTGTGGCTCAGTGGTAGAGCTCTAGCCTCGCACATGCGGGACCCTGGGTTCGATCCTCAGCACCACATAAAAATAAATAAGTGAAATAAAGGTATTGTGTCCAACTACAGCTAAAAAATAAATATTAAAAAAATCCTTTGATTATAAAGGATAAAGGATAGAGATGGAGAGGTGCACAGGGCCAGGTATGGAGAAGGGATGCAGTGCTTCCTGACCTCTCTTGGCATGCTACCCTCCAGGAACCTCCTCCYGAGAGCAATAGATTTTTAGGTAACAGGGTGCGAAGAGTTTTTCACATGTGTTCAGTTTCCACAGTGTAATTAAGCCTCAGGAAGCTCCGAATCCTGTCTCTGCACTCCAGCAAACAGCCCCAGAGAGGGGCCACCCATCGGCCAGCATCAGGCCCCAGACATGTGAGGACAAGTCTTCAGGGCATTCCCCARCCCAGCCTGGGTGCTGCCCCTGCTTTCACGAAGTGGACTCCAGGAGAGATTTCCCCACCCAGATCTGCCCCAGCTGCAGATCTGTGAGCCGAATATAGGAAGTGTGGGAATGGTTTGTTACACAGTGGTAAAAATGAACATGAAGTCTTAGAATTAAACCAATGATTTGGTTTTCCCCACAAAAGGTAGAAGCTCCTTTAACTACACCAAAAGAACATTAGTGCAATAAATGAGCTCATGGGTTCACAACAAGACAAACGCTGCCAGCAAGAAGTCCACTTCCTCATTGTAAACAATGGCATTTATTTTCTTACAGTTCTATATATTCATTATAGGAAATTACGAAAAATAAGAATTTTTAAAAACAACTGTTAATAATTTGGTCCTTTTGGTTTTCTTCTATATATTGAAGCTTATGTTACAAAATATAAGTCACACTTAAAAGAAAGAGTGATCTTGGTCCATCATCAGGGATCATGCTTAGTTCCTTGTCAGGCACACACCCTGGACGTTAGAGAAGGCATGCTGGGGGGTGTCTGGGATGGCCATGACTATGGCTACCTGGAGTAGTCACTAGTGACACATTGAGTTCATCCCCAGGGGTAGCCAGCGTTGCCTGGTGAATAATTGCTGTCAGGGGTGAGACACAGCTTAGAGGGTGTCCTGTCTCCYACCCTTATGTCAGTGGTAGGGAGACTGGGGTTTGCGGTGAACACAGCCCCTGATCTCTGCTCCCTGCAGGGGATGTGCCTTTGAATKGTACCCAGTGACTGTTCACATCACACATGTGCATTATGCAAAAGCGCTTCCTCATTTGGAAACACTCAAATGAAAAAATGGAATTTTGTTCAAAACTCACTCTCATTCACTGAAGAATTTTCAACATTATGTTTGGAAGTTGAAAAACAAGGGAGAGCTTTTAAATTCTTTCATGTGAGCAAGCATAAATTTTAGCATGTAAATGTGGTTTTAAAATGTTATTGCCTATTCATGCGAGTTTCTTTTTTAAAAATATTTTTTAGTTGTAGTTGGACACAATATCGATTTAGTTTTATGTAGTGCTGAGGATCAAAGCCACTGCCTCACACGTGCAAGGTAGGCGCTCCACCCAGCCCTCATGCAGAGTTTCTTGTTAATAGAGTCTATAAAATTTTAAAAAACATTTGGTCAAGGATATCACATAAAATGCTCAAAACAGATGTGACAACAAAGCAGACCTGCTGGTCACCTCCACCGGGTTAGGAATTGCAGCACCTTGTAATAGGTTTGTCCATTTCATGCACAAAACCTGTTTTACACAACAGTTAAAAGAGTTAGTTGGGATGTTAAAGATATGTTTATGCTATGTTGGTTTTAAAGTTATTTATTTATTGGTATCAGGGATTGAACCCAGAAGCACTTAACCACTGAGCAACACCCTAAGCCCTTTTTGTATTTTATGTTGAGACAGGGTCTTGCTAAAYTGCTTAGGGCGTCAATAAATTGCTGAGGCTAACTTTGAACTTRTGAACCTCCTGAGTGCTGGGATTACAGGCGTGAGCCATTGCTCCTGGGTGCTGGAGATCTAACTCAGGACCTGGTGCATGCTAAGCATGTTGCTCTGCCCCTGAGTTGCACTCCACAAGCCCTGAAATTACATTTTAATTACAGGCACATATGCCCCCCATCCCTTTGTCCCCAACGTGTCATATAGGATGCACATGACAGAGGCTGGACCCTGGCTCAAGTTTCCAGGCCAAATAGTCATAGACATGTGCTCAGCCTGCTAGGGTCTGAGTTGAGCCCGCCCWGTGTTTACAAGATTCTTCTCAGTGCTTGGGTGATGTAACCGTCATGATCATCAGCTTCCTTGGGGAGAATGACGACTGTACTTGTTTTTACCCTCTTGTTTAAACTGTTGCTTATTTTCAACTTTTTTCTTTTTCTTCTTGTGTGTTTCACCCAAAACAAAGCAAAGCAAACCAAATAGGTCCAGAGCTCCTGCAGCTGAGCTGGTCTCTTACCTCCAGGGGAACCAAAACTTCTTCTGTTTATTTGCTTTTAATATTTTTAGCATGTTTTGGAAAAACTTCTTTTCAGTGAGTGAGGTGCTTTTAAAATTTTTTATTTATTTTGTACTGGGGACTGATCCCAAGGGTACTTTACCCTCGAGCTATATCGTCAGCTCTTCTGATTTTTTGAGATAGGATCTCGCTTAATTAATCTGCTGAAGCTGGCCTTGAATTTGAGATCTTCCTGCCTCAGCCTCCGGAGTGGCTGGGATTACAGATCCTGCTGCACCGCCCCTGGCCTTGTTTTGGGTTGTGCGTGCGGGTGTGCCTGCTGGGAATCAAGCCCAGGGCCTCAGGCATGCTGGGCGAGCGGTCGTCCACTAAGCTGCTCCCCAGCCCCTCCATGRGTGTTTGAAACGCAGCTCTCCCGCCCCACACTCCCTGCTGGAGCCTCCTACTCCAGGACCTCGGGACAGGTGGGGGCACGCGGTGTCACCGGGGTGCTCGCCTCCCCTCCCCCCAGTCTGTCCCAAGCCGCGAGCTCCTCAGTCCGGGACACTTCATGGGGGCTAGAAACGAACGGTCGGGAAAATTTTGACCGCTATCGTTTCCCCGCGGGACCACGGGGTCCCCGGGCTCCCCAGGAGCAGACGCTGGCGGCAAGGTCGGAGTCGATCCCGGGRTTCACGCCCGAAGCGGGCGGGCGGTCAGCCTCCCAGCCCCAGCCGGGGAGAGGCGAGACGCGGTCGGCGGGACGCGAAGACGCCCAGGGCCTCCCGCCCGGCTGACGGTCCCCGAGCACCGGCGCCTCCTTAAGTCTGCGGCTCCGCCCTGCCGGCCCCGCCCGCCCGCGGTTCCTCCCAACCGCCGAGCCCCTGCCGTCTCGGCGGAGTGTCGCGGAGCCACGAGCCTGGGAGGAGCGCGCCGCCCGCCCGGTCCCCGCGCCTGGACAAGCGTCCCCACGTCCCGGATCCGCCAGCATGGCCAGCGAGGAGCTGGCGCGCAAGCTGCAGCGCCGGCTGCGGCTCCAGGAAGCTGAGGAAGGCGGCCAGGGCGACCCCCAGCCTGCGCCCCTCGCCGTCCCAGCCCCGAGGCTGGAGCCCGAGCCCGAGCCCGAGCCTGAGCCCGAGCCCGAGCCCGAGCCCGAGCCCGAGCCCGAGCCGCCCGCCAGAGCGCCCACAGCCAGCGCTGGCGCGGAGCTGAGCGCCCAGCTGAGCCGGCGGCTGGACATCAACGAGGGCGCGGCGCGGCCCCGCCGCTGCAGGGTCTTCAACCCCTACACCGAGTTCCCGGAGTTCAGCCGGCGCCTCATCAAGGACCTGGAGAGCAAGTTCAAACTGTGAGCGCCCGCGCCGTGCACCCCGTGCGCTGCGCCCCCGGGGCCGGGCCCAGGACCCGGGAGGAGGGCGGGGGTCCGGGAGGAGGGGCAGCCGGGGCAGGAAGGAGGTGCASGGGCCCCGGGGTGCCCTTAGCGTTTGAGCCAGCGGAGCCGGGTCCTGCGCGCCGGTCTCTCCCCGCGYGGTGGAGGGACCTTCCCGCCGGGAGTCTGAGAGCTGGAGCCCTTTGCACCCGGACCGAACCCAGAAGTTGCCCTGGGGCCACCAAGCGGGTGTCCCTGGCTCCGGGGCGGGTTCCGCCCCCTCCGTGCGCAGGTCCCGAGATCGCGTAGAGCCCCACTTCTAGGAAAGGAGCCGCGCCGGGGCGCCTCACCTGCCAGCTCGATCTACATCCCCGAGGGGGAATTAGCCCTGACGTCCTTTYGTCTTTTAAAACAAAAGGGGAAAGTGAATGCTTGGCCGCCGCGGGGTCCCAGGTACCCGCGAGGCTGAGAGCTGGAGCCTTAGGCTCCCAGGAGACCTAGCAGTTCCCGGGAGCGCGGAGCGGCGCGGGAGCCTCCTGGGGGCGTCGCCAGGTGGCTCCCCGCTTCCTGCCTGTGGGGCCCGAGGTGTGGGTCAGAACCGGCCATGGCCGCTGGCTGCATTTGCGCCTTGCTAGATAGTGAGCGGGGGATCGCCCACCTGGGGCACCTGGAGCCCGCACACCCAGCGAAAGAGGCGGCACGAAGGGACTTGTCGCCTGGGACCTCCCTGTCCTCACTCTTCTCATCTGGAGAGTGGGAGCAGTAATAGTCCCTTGCCTTTTAAGGCCATAAAGTATTTTGCACACCGTAAGCTCCTACCGAGCTATTAATATTATTTCCAGAATTGGGCCGAGACCGGAAAAATTACTGGGGGAGCGCAGGCCGCCGGCCAGGTCCTGCCGGGGCGTCTTTAAAAGCGCCTGGAATGTGTTTGTCCTCGGAGAGGAGGTTCTATTTAAAGGCGCTGTGGCGGGCKTTGTGGGGCAGGGAGCCTGAACTGCCCCTGTTCTGAAGGCTACCGAGAGGGCACCTGGGAGCCTCCCTGACACCTAGATTTCTCTGTTCCTGGCTTCCAGGGTCCGTTTGGGCAATTCGGAAAGACGGAGTTGGGGACCAAGAATGGACTGGGCCAAGGTGGAAAAGCTGTCTGTGAGGCTGGTCGGTCCGCCCCCCGGGATTTATTTGTGGTCATTGCTTTTCATGGGAAGACTGCTCTGGCCTTGACAGATTCAGGGAGGGCGTCTGGGACGGACCTTTATTTTCAGATTGCTGTGTGATCATTTGAGTTTCTACCTCTCTCCTTCATTTCTTTCACTCTTCCTGCAAAACCGTCTTAGGAAGGATAAGTTTGTTAGCTGCCTAAGAGTAATGCAGGGAAGACCAGCCGGTGGGAGGGCCCTGGGAGACCAAGCAAGGTGGCCTCTGTGAGAAAACAGGTACTGGACCAGCGTTCTGTGTCAAGCTAAGAGGAAGACAGTATGCGATCTGGGGTCCCGACAGAGTATACAGGAACCTTGCATAGTATTTCTTTTGAGCTATGACATTGGTTGGGTCTTCTGTCACTTGCAACAAATATTGGCATAAACAAAAGGGGAATTATTWGGCTCCTGAAACTAAAAAGCCAGCATCAGCTTCAAGTATGGCTGGATCTAGGAGCTCAAAAGAAAGCTCAAAGCTTTCTTTTTCTTTTTCTTCCTTTATTTTGGTGCAGTGGGAGGGGTTGAACCCAGGATCTCTCAAATGCTAAGAACACACTCTACCACTGAGCTACCCACATCCAGYCCTTGTTTCTATTTTTTAAAGCCACTCCCTCTCTGTTTTCCTTATTCTAAAGTAGCTCATCCCTGGGGTTGGCAGTGTGGCCACAGCAGCTCCAGTAAGTCCACTGGGAAAGAGCATCCACGGCAGAGGCCTTGGTGTGTCACTTGTTTGCAAGGAAGGTAGCTTTACTGTTGTCTGCCTCCCTCCCTCTCTCCCTCTCTCTGCCTCTCTCCCCCTCTCTCCCTCTCCCTCTTTTCCTCTCTCTCTCTCCCTCTCTCCCTCTCCCTCTCTCTCTCTCTCT